GTAAAACATTTTTTCTTGCTTAAAATTACCATAAAAGGAAAATTTTTAACAAAATGGACGCGATCAGGAGAGAGTTTTTTTTGTCAATAATATATATTTTATTTAAAAAGAAATTTAGAATTATATTATTAAAAAATAAAAATTATAATGTGACGCAGTTAAGAATCCTAACAATTTGATTCAATTTGATTCTTGATTCTCAGGTTTATATTAAATTTAATATGTGAATTATAACTTATTATTTTTAATAATGTTCTGAATCTTATGTAAATCTATGTAAGTCTATTCAATTTCAATTTTTGGGACCATAAATACAGTTATATAACTAATAATTGCAATAATGTCACAAAGAATTTATTTATATCATGGTATTTAGATACTATAATAAAAAGGTTGTAAGTAAAAATAATAGAAAATTATTAAAAATAATAATAAAATAATATGTTAGAAAGTTAGGTAATGAGAAAAGTATTGTGAAAAATAATTAAATAATATAAAATTATTGTAATTAAGTATTATGTAATTAAGAACAATTATAAAAAGACTTTAGATAATTGGTGTTATCATATTTTTCAAAATGTAAAAACTGTTTCAACTAAAATATATTAAAAGATAAAAGCAAAAATAAATAATGAAAAGGAATTATCTTTTACTTAGACAAATTGAATATATCTTAAATTTCATAAAAATCTTTATCTTATTGACAGTTATATGATTCCTTGCCTTACTTTAGCAACAGATTTGCTAATCAACTGTTACAATATATATTTATAATATATATACCTATTTCGATTAAAAATTAATGATATTTAAATAATAATATTTATAATTTTTAATATTTAATTTTTTATTTTAATTATAACTAATGTTAAATATATTTTTTGTAATTTCAAGCAATATTATATATTTATTAATATTATATAAAATTTATTTTTTTAAAAAAAAAATCGCAAATAGACATTAAATATGAGACTTTTATTAAACGAGAGTTTATAGCCATTACATTACTCAAGCTATTCTCAAAAGTTACTATCGTATAAGTTCCATTAACTTTGTTGAAAACGATAATTGCTTATGTACATTTTTTTCCAGAGATTTTTTAGCGAAATAGTAAGAATAAGACAAATAATTAAATAAATCAACAAAATAGTAAAATAAATTAAATAGGATAAATAGTCAAAATAAATCAAATAAGATAAATATTAAAAATAAGCAAATAAGACCAATAATCAAAATCCTACTAATTCCGCTAATTTCACCTGTGCCCTTCGCATAATTGTAAATGAATTTTAAAGTTCTCATATGGTTTCTTCGCTTGTTTGAATTTCATCACGAACTATAGGCGTAATAATAAAATGCAAAATCCCAATTATAAAGTTGAGTTAATGTATAGCATATTAAGTATTAAATTGTTTTATACTTACATGTTAAATTTAATGGATTAAAATCTATACATATAGTTTCGACTTTTTGGTTCAAAAATATTTTAATTATTTTAACTTATCAAATAAAAATATAAAAATATTTGAATTCGAATTACCTGGTTCATCATTTTCCTTATAGAATTCATCACAACTAGATATTGATAAAGGTTTCTCGAATTTCGTTTCTTTTGTATTAAAGATTCGCTTAGAATTGTTGCGGAGCTGTTTGATATCTTTATACAACTTTCTTATTGTGGAATGCAAATCTCCAGCAGTTGGCCTTTTATATTCGTCTTTATTCAAACATTGGTTAATCAAATCACGAAGTTGATCCTGTACATCATCTGGAATTATTGGACGATGACCGCCAATAATCTGAATTTTTAAATCATCTTTATTCTCGTAAGTAGCGTGATATTGTAGACAACCAGTTACAACCTCACATGCCACAATACCAAAGGAGTACACATCAGCTGCTTGTGTATAACCATTACCATTTAGAACTTCCGGTGCAACATAGTGTACGTCTCCAAAAGTTTTCTCGGAGCACTGATTTACACCTTGGCATAGCCCGAGATCCGTAATAAGAAAAACATTTCCATTACCAAATAATATGTTTCTTGAATGAAGATCCCTATGAACTAGTTTACTATTATGCAAAAAATCAAGTCCTATGCTTATATCTAATAATGCCGTTATCTTTTCTTCCCAATTCATACGACAAAAATTGTGCTTTAAGTATTCGTGAAGATCACAAGATGCTTTTTCCATGACTATCATATAATTTTTTTTTGGATCTTGAGAAAATCCCAGATATCGAACAAAAAACGTACGATCGGTTATATTAATATATGATTCAGCCTGCATTATATAATTTATTTATTTATTAGTTTGATAACTTAGTATGTAATAAGAATTGCATGATAAGAAATAGGAACTTACTTCTTTTAACAAGTCAGATATATCATTATTTTTTAAGATTTTTAATGCTACTGGACGGAACTTGTATCTTTTCCATTTCTCTTCATGAACATCCCAGTGGTATATTGGCCCATCCAACCAATCAGCAGAACTTACAACTCCAAATCCACCTCTAGCAATATTATCTCCCAATACTAATCTTTCATACGGTATCCATTCCATTATCTCATATGGGTTATTGGCATTAAATTGAACTTTTCTAAGGAATTCATCAATTTCTGGATTGCCACTCTTAGGGCTGGTATTTTCCAAATGTTTTGAATTACATGTTTTGCACCATCCACTATAGATAGGATTATAAAATTTTCTACATTCTTCGCATCTCTTCGAATCATGTATCCAATCCTGTTTCATTAACCTTTTCCGTTCTATATCCCGAAAATATTTTATACGATTTATCCTTTCGTCATCTTCCAAAGTAGTACGGCGAGACTCACTCATAGACCAATGTCTATCGCCGACCCAGATCAAATTGGCAAGGCGATTGAGGCTCTCTATTGCAGTAGGATTTCCTATATTAGCAGATTGTTTATAATTTATATATGCCATGTCAATATCCTTTTCAACTCCAAATCCTATTTCGTAAAGAATACCATCATGAACCATTCTATTAAATAACAGGGATACAATTGATTATTAAAGCAATATCTAATAGCAAAGTTTATGAAATTCGTATTTAAAAAGCGGATGTAAGCAAACTATGTTATATACTCACCCCCTAGCAACTTCTTCTTTGACCTTTAATCCCCATGAATCATTAGTTTTTATTTCTAATAATCTTTTAATATCTGTAAGTGATTCTTTATATTTTTCCATTATGAAATAAGTTTCTCCTCGGTATCTTAATGCAAATTCATCATTTTGCTCAATATCAAGCAATTCTGTTAAACATTCAAGTGCTTCTTTATATTTGCCCAAAATGAAATAAGTTTTTCCTTTATATCTTAATTTAAATGCGTGGTTTTCTACGATTATCAAAAACTCGTTTAACCGTGTGAGTTTATCTATTTGTTGATTGGTTTCATAATCGTAAGCTTCATCCCATCTTTTTTGAAACAATTGATCATCAATGTCATCACAGGTTACCGCTATTAGTAATACAAAATGAAGAATAAATACGTTATTAAAAACAAGACACTTGTGAATATTAGCATTACCTGCATATTTGAACTTTCTATGACCAAAATTTGCTTCAATAGACCCGCCTAGCGACCTCAGTCCAACAAAGGGATACAAGATGATGCCTTTTAAATCTCGGAACGCAAGCCCTAAAAATTTATTTAAATAATAAATCATGTTAATTCGATTAATTTCAAATAATCAATCTCTAATATTTTACAATAGCTACCTAGATTCACTCCGTTCTTGGTATAGAATACCGTATTATTTGCAAAGTTCAAATAACATCCAATAGTGTCCCCGGTGGTAAACAACGGCCCGTACAGGTCTCCAAATCCCTCACAAAAAAATTTTCCATCATCACCATGATAACCCCACGAATTTTCTCTCCACCCTATGGACATAGAATTAATGATGATTAAAGTATTAATAAATATATTAAATGTGATGATGATTTTATTTACCAGGCATCACATTTAAATCAACAGTCTTTGTACAAAATCCGATTCCAATAATCCTTTAAGACAGAATAAAAGAAATTATAAATAAATTAAAACTATCAATTGCACAAAAAAATGGCAAATATTCTTCAACTTACCCAGTTTGTCCTTTATTGATAATATCAATTTCAAAATAAAACAATCCACATTGTGGAAGAATCGGATGGTTTGCTCTTATTGCAGCAGCATGTTCATTATCTTTACCTTGACCATTGAGTTTACAAAGAATTTTAGTAGGTTCGTGATTTTTGATATATATATTAACGGTATATCTAATATCCTAATAAAATAGTCGGATATTGCCATGTAAAGTAAAAAAATAACAATAGTCAACATAAATAAGTTACCATACCTATATAATTCACCTTAAGTCTGCCTGAATCTACGTTCAAAAAATCTGATTTATCGTCAACATTCCATGTGATTGGTAAAGCCATAGAAGTCACAGTTTAACAAAGCTCGAATTGATATTTTAGAGGCAAATTTTGGGCGCGGATATTTCGGCGTCCACAGAACGAAAAATCAGAGTAATAAAATGTAAAATTTTTTTATACTGTATACGTAACCTTTGCTAAAATAAGCAAAATTGTCACCTTAAATATTTAGACTATATGTGAGATCCTATTGGTTAATTTTGAACCATGTCTAAAATTATATAAACGATGGTTGATAATATTTCTGAGGTTGTAGTAAAATATATATGTAAAAATTCATTTGCTTTATAAGATAAAGGACGCACTTTTCCATCCAGAAATTACAACATACTGGCCAACGTTATTTATCATTTTAGTGGATTATAAAAATTCAATCAAAGTGCATCATAATTGGTAAACTGCACCACAATTTATATTATAATTCCAACCGAAATTATAAATTTTGGCCTAAAATATAAAATACATCATATTATAAAAATACATATATCTATATAAGGCTTAATCTTTGAAGACATATGTACTTAATTAACATAAAGAAAATATAAAAAGAAATAAAAAGAAAATAATATAAACAATATGTATGCTTTATAACCTTACACTTCTAATTTGATTACATTAGCTCATAGTAATTAATTAGTAGTGTCTTGCTGGTATAACACATTATCAGAAGTCAGAATCACATTGTATATATATCTGACAATCATTTAGGAACATGTTTCTTACTTATAGGTCATCAAGGACAGATTAGATACTTTGTGGACATCCAAGTTACCTGGCACAGTATGGATTTCATGGTGCAGTTACAGGTCAAAATTGTTATATCTTTGAAGATCTCCATCAAAAAAATTTCCTGATGATATATATACTGTTATATATTTAAAATTAAAAAAAAATTTTATATTCAAAAATACTATAAATATCTTTTTATAAAATTATTTTATTAATTAATTTAATAAAATTAATAATAATAATATTTAAAAATTATAATACATAGATAAATATTTTTTTTGTTATTTTTTTTAAAATCAATATTGGTTTTATATTTAAAATTAGCTTTTAAAGTTAATATTAAAATTAAAAAAAATTATATGGTTTTTTTTTATTTTTATCTTAAAAACATATCTACAAAAGTTTATAATATTTAAATAATTTTAAATTAATTTATTAATAAAAATATAAGTTTAAAAAAATATTGAATTTTTTGTAACACATTGTAAGTATTTTAATATAATATGCACTTGGATATAAATTTAAATTTTAATAATTAAACTTTTAAAATTTTATTAAAATTGTTATAATAATAATTTATAAAAATTAAAACAAATAAAAAAACATAATTTATAACAAATAAAACTAAAATTAAAATTAAAAATTAAAATAAAATAATAATTATGATTTATTTTTTTATAGTAAAATTATATCTAATATAGATTTTTATTGAATTAATTCCAATTTAAAATATATTAAAAATCCTTCACCAGCAAAATAAATAGGATAATATATATCGATTAATAATATCCTGAATATATTTGATTATAATTCCTCTTGTAAATTATTATCAATTTAGATAAAAATTGATATGTATTAAGATTTATTGATTTGATTTAAAATTTTAAAAATCTTAATTTATAATAATATAATAGTTTTTTTTATAATATAAATCCTAATTTTTATATTATATGTAATAATTAAAATAAAATAATTTGTTTTTATTAAAAGCAAATTAATTTGTTTTTGCATAATTATAAATTTTTATATTCTATTTCTAATTTAATTTCTATTATTCTAATTAATCCAAATAATACATCTTGTTCTTCTTGTGAAAATAACATTGAATTATCTTAATACATTCTATTTAATTCTGTTCTTATTCAATTCTAATGTTTCTTGTGATTGCTTTCAATTTAATACACTTTTTAGTTCATTATTTAAAATTTTTTTGACAAAATTTAAAGAGAAATCACTATCATTAAAATCTCTCTATTTAATAAATATATTAAAGATTATATTAAAAAAAGATTATTATATTATAATTAATTACTTATGAGAAGATACTTAATATAATGTTTCATCTGCTTTTCAAAACAAATAATACTCTTGAATTAAGGATTCAAAAAAATATTGTATATAGCAAAAGTAAACACATAATATTTATTACTTAAAGTGAAAACAGATATTTCTGAAAAAGCTGTTCTTACAATTAAAGTTATTCAATAGATGCTTTTACTATTTAATTGAAAAAGTAAATAATAACATTCAGATACTTCTATAGACTTTTTCTATGTTATAATAGTAACTGATAAAATATTGCTTTTTAAAAATAGTAATTGTTCTGAACCAAAGACTTGTCACATTGCTATCTTAATATCTTGTAACATTGCATATTGGTAATTTTTCATTTTTGCCAAAAGTTTTTGTTTAATTAAGTTTGAATTAATTTAAAAATAATTAAAACCAATCAAATTATTTTATTTATACTTACTATTTATTATAAAATAAATTTGTGAACAAATTAGAACTTAAATTAAACATATATTTAAAGAAGTTTACTTTAAGATATTTATATAGGAGACCTCTGGGTCCATAGTGCAGTGGTTAGTGCTCCAGAGGTCATATCACAAGATCAGGGTTCAATTCCTTCAAGAGGATTTTAAGGGGTTATTTCTCAAAAAGAAAAGGATCTCTATTTATTGGCTTAACTGTAAAATAACCGATGTTTCTAAATATAATAACTGGTCTATATAAAGATTGTGATATGGTTGATCGTCTGAAGTTGGCTAGAACTATCATCAACATTACCACATTATCCATAAAAGGTAATAAGAAGAGTAGATTCAAAACCAGTAACGTGCCGCTGATGGACCTGAAAAAGATCTCAAACATAGACAACCTCTTCAAGTAGCTTAAGCATGTGGTTGTGTTAGGTTTCATAGACTTTATTATCAGGAGGCCTTGGTGGGAGAAGAAATTTGCGGACCACTCTGAAGGACTGAAAACCAGGGTCCAGGATACTGTATTCGACGGCCTGATAACCAGAATACTCTTACAAAAATTGTTCTGGGAAAAATTAAGACGGAATTGTACATCTTTCCGATTTAGGGTGGGACCGGTAGTAGTTATACATAATATCTGACCAGCTTAGTATATATATAGCTAGCAATATATAGAATAATAATATATCATAACACGTATATGTATAAATACTCATTAATATAATATTAATAAAAGATGTGGCCTTTTCTCCACCACCCACAAACCATAGGAAAAAATATAAAATCCCATACTTCACTACTATTTCAAATATTCATAACATAATACAAACTCTTCAAATTTCATACACTTTTTTCAAACCCACATCCGCAATACAAAAAATACAATCAACCAACTCCCAACTACCACAAATCAATATAATCGATTTTTCACCAATACACTTTACACTCACCAACACAAACAAAAATCCTATCCTGCCAACAAGGCAATATATCAAACAAACAAATAAACAAAACTGTCCATTCCACAGAAATAATCTACTTCCATCATGCTCAAACAACATTCAAACCAGATCTCTCACTCCTAACTAATGCCCTAACTTTTCTCAAAAAGATATCAATACCAACAAACCAATATCAATCCAAAATCTACAACTTCTGCCTCAAAATTCTTTCCAATACACTACCAACTAAATCCTATCTTTATACTACACTACCCCACATCTACACAAATGATACATGCCCATACTGTAACTCCTTCCCAGAAACTACATACCACATCTGGCTCTGCAAACATAACACAAATACAATCAAAAAAATATTATCCGACACTCAAATACTAATTGCAAAA